ATGTCATTGGAAGTCATTTTATTGCTGTTTTCATTTAGGCTTCCCCTAGGCCCATGACTATCTAGTCCCCAGTTATTAACCTCATTAACAGTGCCAAGCATGGATTTCATCTCATAGAGCAGGCCTTAAATCTTGTTAAAAGGTGGTTGGTTACTCCAAGAATATTCATGCCACTGTTGTACCAGTGGGTGTACCTTGCAGACAGATTGCTATGACAGCTATCAGGGATCAGTGCTGGGTGAGACTGATGATCACTTTCCTCCTCCAGTAGTATGTATAATACCTTCCAGCACTGTGAATGTCTGTCAAGAGAGATAAGAGTTCTATTTGAGCACCAGCATGATTTCTCCATGTTTGATGCTGTAAGTATGTGGTGCCTTTAGTAATGGTGTATTACAATCAGATTGTGGAAGGTAACCAACAGCATTAACAATAGCTTGTAGTGTTTGGGAGTGGTCTGTGGGGCTGCTGTGGCCAATGACTCAAAAGAGATATAACCAAGTCTTGATTATGGGTTTTACTTGTTAGCACATGTCTAGTTGGGACATTGTCTCCCCCATTATAGCGTAACTCCATTTAAATTCCATTTATATATGTATATATTTTAGGACACTTCCACAGGAGTAGGCTTTATGGCTTTTCAAGAGACCTTTAGTGTGAGTTGTCCCTTCCCATATTCTTTCCTCTACCCTGCCCACCTATCTCCCCTGCCACTTAATCTGCCCCTTCTAATTTCCTCTTTATCACTTTATAATAATGTATTTATTTCCCCATTCTTGGCCATGGGAAGATCACCTCCTCCTGCATCCTAATCCCTTATTTAAGCTTGGTGGTTATTCTGATTGAAATCGATTTATCTAAAGATTAAAAGCTAACTGCACATATAAGAGAAAACATGCAATATTCGTCTTTCTGAGTCTAAGTTACCTCACTCAGGATGATTTTCCATTTACCTGCAAATTTCATTTTTCTTAACAGCTGAATAATATTTCATTGTATAAATGTACCACATTTGTATTATCCATTCACCAGGAAATGGACATCTAGACTATTTCCAATTTCTGGCTATTATGAATAGAGCAGCAATGAACATGTATGAGCAAGTATCTCTGTAGTAAAATGTAAAGTCCTTTCTGTTTGTACCCAAGAGTGGAGTAGCTGGATCTTGAGTTAGATCAATTTTCAGCTTTTTGAGGAAGCTCCATACTGATTTCCATGTGGCTGTACAAGTTTTCATTCCTGCTGGTAATGAATAAATGCTGTGCTTTCTCCATATCTTTGCCAGCATCTGCTGTCATTTGTTGTTGTTATTTTTAATCTTGGCCATCTTGACTGTGGTAAGATAAAATTTCATAGTAGTTTCTCAGTCATTTGTGTTTCATCTTTTGAGAACTGTTTATTTCTGCATCTTGTGTTTTAACTGAGTTGTTTTATTGGCATTGAGGTTTTTATTTTAGTTCTTTGTATAGACTAGGCACTATTCCTCTGTCAGATGGTTAATTGGTAAGTTATCCCCCATTCTCTAGCTGCTGCTTTACTCAAATGATGCTCTCTACTGTACAAAAACTTTTTAACTTCATGAAGTCCCATTTATTAAATATTGATCTTAATGTCTGTGCTATCCTGTGTCAATGAATTCAAGCCTATTCCCTACTTTCTCTTCTATCATACTCAGTGTATTTGGTCTTATGTTGAGGTCTCTGATCCATTTGGAGTTGAGTTTTGTGTAGGGCAATAGATATAAATCTATTTTCATTCCTCTACACACAGTTATCTATCTGATTTAACCAGCACCATTTGTTGAAGATACTGTTTTTTCTTCAGTATGTATTTTTGGATTCTTTTTTAAAAAAATAAAGTTTCTATGGATGTGTGGAGTTATGTATGCAACTTATATTCTATTCCATTGATCAATGTCTCTGGTTTTTTTGGGGGGGGCGGGGTTCAAGACAGGGTTTCTCTATGGCTTTGGAGACTGTCCTGGAACGAGCTCTTGTACACCAGCCTGGTCTCAAACTCACAGAGATCCACCTGCCTCTACCTCCCAAGCACTGGGATTAAAGGTGTAAGTCACCACCACCCAGCCAATGTCTCTGTTTTTATACCAATGCTATGCTGTTTTTATTACTGTAGTTCTGTAGTATAATTTGAAATCTAGAGAAACTAAAAGACATGTGTGTGTGTGTGTGTGTGTGTGTGTGTGTGTGTGTATCTGAGAGAGAGAGAGAGAGAGAGAGAGAGAGAGAGAGAGAGATTGATAGATATAGACATATCTCCTAGTGGAATAGAAACAGTAATTTAAAAATATCCCAATTGAAAAAAGCCCAAGGCCAGATGGATTCAGTGCAGAATTCTATCAGGCCTTCAATGAAGAACCAACACCAATACTCCTCAAATTATTCAATGAAATAGAAATGGAAGGAACATTTCTATGTTCTATCAGGGTTGTACAGTAACAGATAAGCCAGCTAGGCTTTTAATTAAGATCAGTGAGACTATGCAATATTTTTGTGGGCAGGGATGAGAGAATTAGGAAAACTGCCACCATTCTTCTGCACAAAAAGAAATGAGCAAGGATGATTTTCTGAAGCTCACTGACAGGCAGAGTTGTAAAGGAAGGGCTACCCAACTGAATAACATGGCTATAAAGATGTAATACCACTGCAACTAAGTCACAGAAAAGATAGACATGGAAGGAAAGAAAACCCTGACATGCCTGTTTCCCATCCTCTGCCTGATGCATTTGAACTCTTCCTGAAGATGAAGGCAAGGGAGTTTAGCAGGGCAGAATCATCAATCAACAGAAAAGAATAAATATGGGAGCAAGGACAGAGGTTGGCCAGGGTTAAGTGTCAAGACATTTGATACATGCAAATGAATAATAGAGGAGCAAATGATGAAAGCCTAAGACCCACCATTCAATAAACACTTTGTGGGGGCTGCTAAAACTACAATTCCCTTGATGCCCTTGTGCTCCAAAGCCCTCATTACTACTGTATAGTATTTCAGGGTGTCCACCTCAATATAGCCTTTGACCTGTGTCCTGCTGCCTTTGTGCCCTTCTCCAGCCTTAGCTAACCCCTCAGGATTTCCAACAAGAGTATAAACAGAGCATAGATTTCATTTGGATGGGAACAGAGAGGAGCAAGGGCTGTTCTGAACAGTTAGGACATTATCAAAGACAGCTAAAATAATTCCCAGAACATAGAATGCACTGTAGAATATTTAAGAGTTTTTTAAATGAAAATGTGGTATCATTGTACCTTATGGAGAAAATTTTGTGACTTACTTCCAGGAAGCCTGCCCCAGACATCTGTGTCACAAGCTGTGGCTTCACCAGACACCTCATTACCAAATGCCTTATGTATGAACATCTTTTGCTCAAATAACTTTCCTCATATCATAGGCTTTGATTGCAAACACAGATCAGCTGGCTAATCAGAGCAGCAATATTGACAAATTAGTGACCGTGTGAGGGTTTCAGAGTTCTGAAGACACTGATGGCCACCATAGGTCTCCTTCTGGTCACTTCCTCCTCCATTAGTTGAGGCAGCATGAAGAACATTGAGCACTATCTTCCTCAAAGAATAATTCCTAGAATTCTGGTATTTGAATGCTTAGAAATTATTTGAAAGCATTTTTGGCTGATTCCACTAGCCAGTTGGCTTTCACCTGGAACTGTGAGACCCAATTGGACAATAATTATGAATTTGTGTCCATAAACAAAAGTCAGTTTGGGGGGAGGAATGTTTTGTTCTTGTATGTGTATGTGATCCATTTATTTATGTATATATGTGTTTGTGTGTGTGTGTCTAACTAACCTAACTGGATTTGGCTGATCTAGACAGCCAGCTTGCTATAAGATCTGTCTCCACCTCTCATGTTTGCTGGAATCATAGGCAGGCCAACATGCCTCCCCAGCATTTACATGGAGATCTGAAATCCAGTCTCACAGTCAAATGTAAGGGGCTTTACACACTGAGCCCTAAAAGCCAGGTTTAAAGAGTAGTTACTGGCATATACAGACATGTTTTGTGTTGAAATGTTGAAAGAGTTTCTTCCTATCTGAGATCTGCATCTTCAGCAGTTATCTTATCTCCCTTAAGCCCCAGCCAATCACTGGGTAGTGGTGACACATGCCTTTAATCCCAGCACTCGGGAGGCAGACACAGGCAGATCTCTGTGAGTTCGAGGCCAGCCTGGTCTAAAGAGTGAGTTCCAGGACAGTCCAAAGCTACAGAGAAACCCTCTCTCAAAAAAATAAAATAAAATAAAATAAAATAAATAAAACAGGCCAATCAGAAACAAGAGTCTAGAATTTCATACACAAGCCTAGAGTCAGAAATACTAGCTGGAATAAGGTTTGGGCTGTGACTCCTGGAGGGAGTATGAGACGAAAGGCTTCACCCTGTATTTCAGCAAACAATCCATTTCTCACTCTAAAAGCCTTCTCCTGCCAAAGCATTTTTGACTCACTAAGGGAGAATCCAACCTAAGCTTCCAGTAATAGTGGGTGAATCTAACTCAACCAATGCCATGTCAGGATTCATCAGTAACTCCCATCTAGGACATCCAGTATCAAACTCCTTATAACTTAATCCCAGTTGGGATAGCTATTAAAGAGGCCCATGAGCTATAGATTAGATAGCAATACTGAATCAATGGTTATTTTCTGTTATTTTCACACTGTTTACAAAAAAGAATGTCCTATTCCTAGGAAAACAAATTCAATGATTAGGGGCAAAGGAAGTATCATGGCTATGACTTAAGACCCAGGATGATGAATAACATGTTAATAATTATCTGGTATCTGGGTGCTTTTGCTACCTTTCTCTAAGCTCGATATTACTTCATAATGAAGTTGCCAAAAAACTAAGTCCCAAAAATGAAAGCTATTATAAGTGAGGCTGTTCTGCTGTGCTATGTGACACAGGAAGCTAGAAATGACAAATATCCTGCTTTGTCAGGTTTGAACTAAAATGAGTCATCTTCTCTTTCAGCTAAAGGACACTTCTCCTATCTGTGAAGGTGAGCACCACAGATGCTTTGCACATGAGCCCTAAAGGTAAGGAGGGCTTCATCTAGTGATAAGATGATTGCATTCCATTGTCCACCTCATCCGGGGAAGGACAGGGACTCAGCTATCTTGATTCTCAAACAACATCATCTCAAACCATTGATGTTCATGCAGGCCAGTCTGTGAAAAAAAAAAAAAAAAAAAAAATAAAAAAAAAAACTTCAATCTCCCTAGCTCATTGTCTCAGAATACCTGACATTCATCTCTTTCTCTTGTTTTTCTCAAAAGCTTTTCATGGTTGATATTCCCTAGTAATGCAATTTAGGATATTTTTATTTCCTCTTCATACTTTTCTATACTTGGAAGAATTTTTTTACAATGTCTGTGTTACTTTTACAATCAAAAAGAGAAATATTGCATCTTCTTTTGTTTTTCCAACCAGTTTAGTACAAATTCTGTCACCACTTTCTGAATCTTGTCTCAGCCTCCTTAATATTGCCACTATTTGAACCTGCTCCATCCCAGCCTATATTGACAATACTCATACATGGCAAGTTCTGAATCTTCTCCATTTCCTAACAGCAAGGAAGCCCTGGGAGTCAGGACCTTCAGCAAACAGGCCATGGAGAAATCATCTGCACAGATTGCCTCTGCATATGCTACAGTCAAAGATCTAAACTACTTAAGAAAATAGAAGGTTGCTTGCGCAACTCTGAGGTCTCACTTTCCTGCCCTTCCAGGGAAAGTGAAAACCTCATTAAGATAGGAAATCTAAGTGAAAAGTTTCTGAGATTTCTTTGAGACACTTTTCAGTGTTTACTAGTCTTCCAACAGTGACATGGTGATACCCTCTTGAGAGCCATCCCTCACTCCAGTGAAGTCTTGGACCTGTCACTTGGCCCAAGGTTTCTCAAACATTGTCAAGACTTCTGAGTAAAAAAATTGTTTTGTCAGAGACTGCTCTCTGTATGGTAGTATACTTGGCAACATCAGAGTAGAGCACCACCCCAACAGCAGCTTCAATAACCAAAAGTGTCAAAACATTGCTTAAGGTCCTGGGAAGGATAAAACCACCCACCCTGGGTAGTGACATTAATGTGTTCAGACATTGCCAGACATCTCCTAAGTGAAACAAAATCTTTCTTTCAAAAAATCACTCCTCTGAGTTACCTCAGCCCTGGCAGGACCTTTTGTCTTTTCATTTAAATGGACTGGAATTCATAGTGTGCAGAGTGGACATTATTAAATGTCTACAGAAAGGATGCCCTAAGTCATCCAGTCATTTTGAATACAAGAGATCCCTGTGACGTGAATGTCCTTCCCTGGGTGGACCATGAACATCAGGACAGATGAATCAATCCAGTTACAGTTATATGAACTTCCTCCTCTCAGAGTGTCTGTCCCTTGATTTCACATGCTCTGTGCTATTTGAAATTGGGAGACAATAAGGTTATGCTAAATACTGTAATAATCTTTCCCCAAGGGGACAAGGAAGTGGAGTCTGAACTGTCTTACCCACAACAGAGAAATTTCCCTGCTAATTACTTTTTCCTTTTCCTTTTATGTGTGCTTACTTATTGACCACATATCTGTGTAAAAAAAAAAAAAGTCTCTGGCTGACTGTATAAACTTTTTAAGCAGGAAAGCATAGATTCTGAACAGTGGCTTAATTAAAATTCCTCTTCTCCACTTGAAGCACAGGGCAGGTGAAGTGTTGGCAGCAGATGTGTCTGTGGTAGGAACAGGAGACTGAGACTCTAAGAGCAAATCTGTGTCCACAGCATCAATCCCAGTCCCGTGTCCTCCTCCCTTTACCCAACCTTTGAATTTATATGCAAAGATTCTTCTGATGCCAGTGTGTATCAGTGAAAACACAGGCAGGAACTTGAAAGCAGTTTTAAGACAAGCCAAGACACACAGCAACACAGCCCAGTTTCAATATGAAAAGAACACCCAGAAGCCAATGTTCATAAAAGAATGCAAGAGAAAAAACACTTCCCTGAAAGGATGGCATTCTAATTAAGAGCAGAGAGCTTCAACTCTTGTCCAACACCCCAACAAAAATACTGTAGTCCACCATGAGCTCTGTAAGCTGCTTTCTGATCCCCACCTTTTCAGTCATGTTCCAATGGCTGTGATAATTCCACAACAGAACAAAACCCCAGTGTACCTGGCACCTTACCTCCTTTTGCAAGAACTCTGGCATCCTGCAGGATCTGCCATTCCAATTCTTTCCCAGTTCTTGCCCATTCACTTGTGACCTTAAATCTTGCCAGATTTGTGAGAGGCAGAGGCACTTAGAAGCATCCCAGAGCACTGGGGAGAATATGCCTTCCATCAGGCATGCTTTGATATGTATCTAAAGGTCTTTACCATTATCTTTTTACCTATCACATTTCTCTGCCACCTTTCCCATTGCCACTGGGCTTCTTTGACTAAAGCATGGTGTTGTTCAAAACTTGTATACTAGTCTTGGCATGTAGACATGTAGGTCATTGGTAGAGCTCTTGCTTAGTATGTGTGAGGCACTGGGTTTGATCCCCAACACAAGAGAAGAGAGAAAGCTACACAGTTGCCTAGGAGGGTTCAGATCTTAATTTATTCCTGGTACTTGGTTTATGAGATGGACTTTCTTGTGCTTCTCTGAGAAAGCTATGGACTGGAACCTAGGGGAGACTAATTTTGGTTGTAGTAGAGAAACTGAATACACTGACCATCAAATATCATGCCAATTTCAATATAAGTCCATTGAAATTAAATATTAAAGATTCAGGTCCTCAGTTATATTGACTCCATTTCAAATGTTCAATAGCTGAGCTGTGTGTTCTTGGTGGTCACTTTATTGGACAGGGAACATCTAGAATACTTCCATCATCACAGAAGTTTATACTGGAACACATTGGTCATCCCAATGAGGAGTTCTGGGAAAGTGAAACAACAAAGCTAAGCAGGCTCTGTGTTGAGAGAGAGAGATGACAGAATAAAATTCTAAAAGGAAAGTGAAAGGACAATCAGAATACTTCAAATACTTCAACAATTGTGTCACTTGTGCCTAGCCATGAAGCAATATGCAGCTACTCTACCACAAAGCTCCAGGAAACAAAGACATGACTATGGCTGCCTTTGAGACCTATTTTCTCTGGTCTGGTCTTTGGATTCTGTAGACTCATGGTGAAACAAGAGACTGTCTTCTGAATACTGAGGCAAGTGGCACCCTCAGCAGGGCTCTCACTTAGGAGCCATTGAGTTCCCAGACAAAGAGAAACCAGCACTCTGGTGGCATCAGATCCTGGGGCCATATTCAAGAGTCCATTTAGAACTGGGATTATTCAAATCAAAAAATCAGTACAAGAAAAAAGAACCATCTCCACTGGGGTTTGTGCTTCTTTGAAGAGTCCAAGAAACCCAGGGGGTTGCAGGGCAAATGTTGTCCCTTAGCCATAGCAGTAGAGGAGCGGTCATTGCCCACTAATGAAAGCAGTGATTTATCCTTACATAGTCTACTTTGTAGACAAGTGGAGTATTTTCACCAAAGTTGTCCATCTCAGTCTCATCCTCACTGTCACTCAGTGAGGAAAGACAGTAGATATGGAGTTCTGCATTTTATTTAAGAAAAATGGGGACTCAGAAAGAGACAAACCATAATTAATATGGCCAGTGGCTATCAGGACCAACCATAAAAAACACCTACCTATCCTGTCTGCAGTTCACAACCCCTCTCTCAGTCGATAAAGGTCACTCAGTACCCATTCAGGACCCTAAGTCTGTCACCCCCAAGTCTAGGACCTCCTCATAGATGCAAACTCACCATGTATGGAGTCTCCCACAATCTTACTGACTCTACCTCATTTACTCAAACTGCTGCAAGAAGAGACAACAGCATCACCATGAAACCTGTAGCTGCTCTTCCCAGAAGGTCCCTTCTTGCAAGTGAACACTCACACTCAAGAATTGCAGAAGGAAAGCAATGTTTGTCAATGGGCACATCAGGTCTACCTTCTGTCTTCTTAGTGAAAGATAGAAAGGAAATGCTGCCTTCCCAAATACTCTGTCTGCCTTGAGATACCCTTAATCATGGCAGATTTATTTTTCTAGAGCACCTCCATTCATATGACTTTCAGTAGCCTGCAGCCAAATGTGACATAGTCTCACATTTGAATGAACAATCACTTGTGATGTATAATGGTCATTTGCATACTGCCTGCATGAACTCTATATTTTCCTTTTTCACACAAAGATCCTGAGCCACCTATGCCAAGTTTTGCTATATGCCCAAAGCAAATGGGCCATGTTCTGGAGAGTCCACTTTCTCCCAGGATTGAGTAAGTGCAAACTCTAAGCCTCTTCTGCATCTTTTTGTGGCATGGCCCCAGGGAGAATATTGTGAGCTGCAAGCCATAGCATGCCTGGCTAAAGGTGGATTAAACACTGGGCATGTAGCACTCTCCTAAGAAGCTCTGGGAAAATCAGTTTTAGGTATGATTTAGTAGGTCATGATAACTCCAAAGACCCAGAGTCAGAGTGAGGGGTGGGGAAGTGGGGCTCCTCTCCCCTCTTCTTTTCAATAGAGAGGAAATTTTCTGCTATGCCTCAGTGACTAAAACTGAATAGGACGGTCATTCCTAATGTAATCTTTGGACCAAAAAAAATGAATACAATGACCTTGGATAGCTTATCCTGCTACTTCCTCATCCCCTGTGGCTGGACACCTGATGCCTAGTTGGACTCTGCATAAAAACAAAGGGAAAAGTGGGTGTGGAGTATCTACCATACCCATTTGGTGGATAGGGCTGTGTCAAAGACAAGACAAGGAAGCTTGTTGTCAGCTGCGTGGCACCCTCCACAGGGAAGCATCCTCAACTCCTTGGCCAGGTCAGATCTTCCTGCTATTGTCATGGCACCTGCAGAGCTTTGTTCTTATTTCTTTTGTCATTTATGTGTGCTTTACTGGATTCTCTCTTTGAGAGACTGTGCATATATACTGGAAGTATTCTTTCTGCACAAGATTGTATTTTAAGTCTGGTTCTGACATCCAAGTGTAGGTAAAA